TCTGCTTCACTGTGGAAGCCGGTATTGAAACTTTCGTTCCAGCACAGAAATACCAAATGAAACCAGGATCGTCACTTTGTTTACCTGCCTGATTAACCACTAAAACCCACAGGAATCACTTCTTCCAGGTGTACCAGAGCGAGTAGTTTACTTGTAATCGACGCCATTGCCACTGGTGATAATGAGTGAACGCCTGTTCTTAAAGAAACAAAGTTTACATTTTATCGATAGAATGAAAGAATATATATGCTCTCACAAGTTTGCTTCTACAGATTGCTGGCGGTTCTGCAAAAGTGTAATGAACAATAATAAATACTTAGTCCTTTCTCTATTCAAACAATTTGAAGTAATGATATCTACTGAAAAGTGGAAGAAAAGGGATAAATCCGGAAGGAAAGAGAAAGGGGAAGAGGAAAAGCAAATAATTTTATTGTAAGTCCCCGGGTTACGACAATACCGACCTACGAAGATTCGTGGTTACGACGCAATTTCCATTAATCCTGATTGTACGATATATTCTATTGTGCATACGTTCTCTTTCGTTGGTGTTGTGTTTATGAAAACGCATAGGCCCTCATTTTGCCCCACAAGCGTAATGAAACCACTTTTGATGACGTTATTCGAAGAAAAGGAAATCCAACACCATGGAAGAGAAAATACGGGTTACCTTCCAGCTTAAACGTAAAACAGAGACATCGCAGGAACGGAACTCTGTCGTATGTCGAGGACCAGCTAAATACATATATAGAAAGGAATGAGAAGAAACGGTGAAAGGAAGAAAGGGGGAGAAAACAGCGAAACGAAAAGGAAAATAACAAGAGACAACTAAATAAAAGGGAGGAGAAAACAACGAAGAAATAATAGGGTATAAAATGATGAAGAGAAGAAAAAACTGAAAGAGGAAAAATGTATGAGAATTTACAAAAAAGCAAGATGGAAGTACGCTAAAGACGACCGTGAAGGAAGAAGAGAGCCAAAAATAACAGAGTCGGAGAAAAATAGAGAAAGGAACCATTAACAAAACAGTCAATGAAAAAAAACAAAGAAATGAGATGAAAGAGAAAAAAAAATAAAATAGAGGAAAAATAGAAAAATGAAATAAGATCTTACCTATTATAAAACGCAGATTGTGTGTGTGTGTGTGTGTCTGTAAGTTTATATATTGGATCGGATTTCCTATATTTTTCAACCGATTTCAACAAAACTTCACAGGACTACATAAAATTACCTTGCAGTGGTTCTAACAGCGCCAAAAATTGGAAAAACACAATTGTTTTTGCACGAAATCAATTTGAAAACACGATTAAGAGGCATCACGAGAATTAAAGGGGGACAATTCATATCGAGTTAATTTAATATTTAATAATATAGTCAAAAGCTATTCCATTCATTTACGTACCAATACTCTTGGGAAACGTATGAATAATATTCTTCACCCCCCCTAGCTATGAGTAAATAACTGGACAGACCGGGTTCTATAGACTTGAATGGTAACTAGTCTACCGCAAAGAGAAAAAAAGCAACCTACTGCAGGAAAAATTCTGCCTCGTCAGTCATGTATCAAAAGATACATGATCGCCTAAGCGTGAATGACGCATGCCGCACCATTGATTGAATCAATATTTCATAGCTTTATTGTCTAACTAGTTTTCTACGCCTTATCAACCATTTGGAGGTTATTCAAAGCAAGAAAAATATTTTTAGATTTCAAGTTATATTTTTTTATTTTTGAGATAATGATGAATTAGTAATACAAGACTTACTTATTAACCCATAGCTGGGGGAGAAGAGTTGGATTCATACAATTCCCATAGGTTTTAAGCGGAGGTGAATATGCCGAACACAACTGGAATTGGAACTTGTCTCTCCGATTGACATTTCCAAGTTCTTATCCATACTTCAACGCTGACAGCATCTGGTATTACCAAGACACCATTCTTCTAGGTACTGGCCAGGCTCAATGTTGCTTAACAGTGATCACCGTAAGGGAATCCGATAATAAACGAAAACCTTGAAAGAAGGAAAAAAATAATAACTGTAAAATCATAGACAGAAAGAAAGATGCCAATGAATAAAACGAAATAGATATATCTTTAATATATTCATACGTTATTTTTATAGATGCAAATACTTAATTCAATGCCCTGTTTATAATAAAACAGTATTAACAACATTTACAGGTCTGAATGCCCGAGAAATTTCATCGGACATATGTATGCTCCGACATGAATGGAACCTGTATCCTATACGGTACAATCACATAACCTGACGTGCTATACCATTTAGTTACAGAGAAAACGCCTTGTAAGCAAGATCGAATTACTGCTTTTAAGCTACAAATTTCTGTAGCTAAATGGATTCCACATCAGGCTATATGACGGTTCCGAGTAGGATACAGGTTTGATTCCTGCCTGAGGATACATTTTTTATGCGATTTCTCAGACATTCAAGCCGGTAAATGGTGTTAATACTGTTTATTATAAACACAGCATTTACTTAA